CCGTGGGCCTTTCAAAGCGACTAGCCTTGAATTTCCAAGACAGATTCCTAAGGGGAACAGCTGAACGAGAATACGTCGAGAGGTTCACCTGTATTCCTCTTGGCTTGAACAAAGACAAGGGCTTTTTGTCTGACTGTTGTAGCTGGCGAAAGGGTGGCTGTTTTAGTCTGTGCAGAATAGGTAAAAGCAAAATAGAAATCGAAAGTTTTTTTTTTAAAGACAAAAACATGGTGGCTAGAAAGGGTGGCTGTTTTAGTCTGTGCATGCAGGATAGGTAAAAGCAAAATAGAAATCAAAAGGTTTTTTTTTCGAGACAAAAACATGGTGGCACCTTAAAGACAAACTTTTATATAGTTTTAAATGTGAGCTTTTGTGGACAAGTCCATTTCATCAGACAATAGTAATCCGTTCATCCACACATGTGCAACTACATTACTATTCTATGACACATGGCTTAAATGACTTTTCCAAAAGGATAATGAAACAAAACAGATTATTTCTGCCTTCTTCTAAAGCAGACACTCTTTGACAGTGTGGATCATTGCTTCAATATCTCAGACCATGACGGACTTTTGCCGTTCACCTCCGTTTCAATGGCTTCCTCTTGAAAGTCAATGACCGGCGTTTCTGGCACAATTATAATTTTCTCTGTCTTGTTTCATTCAGTTTCACGGCCGTAAGTAAAGTGCCTATAAACTTGTGGCTTGAATATTGTTCTCCGTGCCTCTGAAGAAGTTGGTACGCCCAGAAAGCTCAGGCCAAAGAACAGCACTTGTTAGTCTTAGAGGTAGCACCAGACTCTTTTTGCTGTTTTGGGTGTTATCTGTCGCTCTTTAGAAAAGAAGGTGTTCCTACAAAATAACTCGGGAGCTACCGATTGCTGTGGTCATCATCTTAAAAAGTAATTAGTTACAAATCCTGGCACTGTGGTTCAACTGCAATACTGCACTGAAGACTCTGCTCACAATCTGCGTTTGATCCTGACAGGCTCGAGTAGCTGATTCAAGGTGGACTCAGCCTTCCAGCCGTCTGAGATCAGTACATGGAGTACCCAGCTTGAGGGAGAGAGGAAAGCAATGTGTCACCTGCATCATTAAAATGTGCAAAACACCCAGAGAGTGCTTCAAGCACGCTGGGGTGGTACATAAGCGGCACCCTTTGCTTTTTGCTTTTACATCATTCTTGTAACTTCCTAAGCTCTGCGGCTAAGGTAAACAGCAGCCAAGTCAGGCTTTGTTTTGGCAAAACAACAACAACAACAAAAACAACAACAAACAAAACAAACAAACAAAAACTCCACATTCCAGGCAAGAAAATGTAAATAAGGACAATTCAAACCTCCGACAGCCCGGCCGTTTCACGACAAACCCAGGTCTGTTGTCGAAGGGGGCAGGTCTCCAAAAAGTGCTGCGAGGTCAGATTTGATTCTGAGCCAAAGAGCTAGCCCATTTCAATCTTCATGGCTCTTTCCCATCCAGTGTGTTTTCTTTTTAATTCAGCGGCTTCCCAAGGCCACGGAATGGCTTTTTTTTTTTTGCTTCCTTTGGCCAGACATAGCCTTCGAACGACCTGACCTGCTTCAAACACAGAGTGTTGTAAAGCCGAACGTCACGGGAAGACCTTCCACATCAGAGGGAGAAGTTACGGAACACTTTTTTGTGAAAGGGTGGCAGACCTTTTGAAGGCTGCCAAGATCGGTTCTAGATTTGGCAATTCCGTACGGGAGATGTTCAGACAGACGAAATGACCGTCAGGTTCAGGACCGTTTCCAAAAGCTTTCAAAATCTGAGTCGGCCTAAGAGTGAGATAAAATAATTTCCCCGTTCACTCCCTAGTTCTGTGGCACTCTTTGCCACGAAGTAGGCTTCCCCAAATGTTTCATCAACCTTTTGACATAGTAAAGGGGCCAAACAGACACTTCCCTCTTCTGTGTGGGCTTTGAGGTCCTCCTCTCAGTCCTGAGGCACACTCGGCTAAACGCCCAAGGAGCAGTCCTCCTGAACTGTGGAACTCCCTCCCACTGGAAGCCACCCTGGCCCCATCCTTGCTGTCCATCTACCGACAACCACAGATCTTCCTCTTCAGACGAGGGAAAGGGCTTTTTAATGGATCTGTTGCATTTCTCGTCTTTTATTTATTATTTCGCCTGAGCTGTGTTTAAACGGTTTTCACTCAAGTTGTGTCTTAATAGGATAGCCTTTCTTTGCATAAGCATCACCTCTTTTCTGCTTTCACACTGTAGGGGAGTATTTATTTAAAAATACAGATACACCTGCACAGGTAAACTTGTTCATCTATGCAATGAGACAAATAGCCCCTGTCTTTGTTCAAACCAAGAGAAGTAACATGGAAACCCACTTGACGTATTCTCGTTGAGCTGCTCCCCTTTTGGAATCTGTCTTGGAAGTTCAAGGAGGGTCAGAATTTCCACCAGAAAAATGGCAGAAAGGAACGGAAGTCGCCCAAACAACCACTGCACCTCTTTTTTTAAACAACCCATGTAGGTATACATGTCAAATGTCGCAGAGTTTGAACATGTGACTTTTCGGGGACCATATCTTTTGGAATCCAGCCAACCAGTAGAGCTTCAGGGCTGCAGGAATGAGAGCCCAAAAAGGAACTTTTAAAATTTCTGTCATTTAGGATGGCCTTGGTTACTAGTTAGAAGCAGAAGGGGACAGGTGCATCGACTTATATCTCTCCGTGGTTTCCCTTTGTAACACCCACATCTAGTGCTGTGAGTTTAGCTTTGAAATACAAAGAAAGCCTTCAGGAAGTGTGATTCCTTGTTCCCGTCCTCCCTGATCACGGTGCTTCCTAACCTTACACCCCCAGATGTTCCTGAACTACAACTCCCAGAAGCCTTCACCCCCCAGCTGTGCTGGCCAGGATTTCTGGGAGTTGTAGTCCGAGAACATCTGGGGACCCAAGGTTGGGAATCACAGCCATAAAATATGGTCTGTTCTTCTCCAGCATGCTTGTGTTCAAAAGGCCTTTGCTGTAGAGATTTTGCAAGAGCTTCGAACGCGGTGGATGGAAGACTGTGTTTCTTTTGTATTTATTTATTTATTTATTTTAAAGAAATGCTTGAAACAGGCTGAGAGGGTTGTTGGAAGCCTCATCCAGTCCAGTTATTCCCCCCCCCTCCCAAGCTCTGGGGCTTCGATGCTCTTTGCCGTCTTGAGCCCGACCGAGGCCATCCATCCATCCGTGGTCCCTGCTTCCTCCGTCGGAACTCGGCTTCTGTCTTGACCTCTCTCGGTGGTTCTTCTCTTTGTACAGAAAAAGAGCTGCAAATCCTGAAGCGGACCGAGGGAGAACCTCGGAAAGATTTCCCCAAACGGACGTCCCGTTTCGATTCGGAAGGCGGCGTCCCCACCAACGCCTCCACCTCGGAGTTCGGGCCGCCGTCGGATGAGGACAGCAGCAAATACATCATCCCGGTCTACTGCTCCATCTTGGCCGCTGTGGTGGTGGGACTTCTCGCCTACGTGGCTTTCAAATGGTACGTCTCGAAAGCGGCAGGGGAGGGGGAGACGACATGAGAGAGAAAGTGCCGGATGGGCTCCCTCAAGGAGCAAACAGATCCTGCGCATGGCCGGAAGAAAATGGAGGAACTTTGGTTCTCCACAAAGTTTGGAAAAGTTTCATTTTGGGGCAAACAACTCCCAGATTTTTCCAGCCAGCGTACACACCCGTTGTCCGTGTTCTTGACCAGATGCTAGAATGCAGAGAGTTCTGCTTTCATGTGGCCTTGCCAGTTGTTTGTTCTTGGAATCAAGAAGACCCAGAGTGACTGAGGGATTTCAGGGAACCGTCGCCCCCCCCCTCCAAAAAAGGGAGTTTTCCCGACCTCTGGGTCAGATCCCAGCAACCACAGAATCCTCAGAGTTGGAAAGGGGCCTCGGAGGCCATCAAGTCCATCCCCCCCTGCCCTGGGTGGGAATCCAAATCAAAGCAGATCTTGTCCGGTTTTCTCTTGAAGGCCTCCAGCGTTCGAGGGCTCATCGTGTGCCAAGGTCATGGATTCCCTCGTTGTACTGCTCTAATAGTTAAGCCATTTTTCCTGATATCCCGCCGAAATTTGGCTTCCTTTCACTGGAGTCTATCAGGGCTGTGTGCTTTGGGGGGGCACCTTAAACTTGCTTTTTCTCGTGTGCTCCTCAAGAGCCACGGAGCTGCTCGGCCGGTCCATGTCTTAATGAGCGATGTTGTCAAACAGAAAAAAAAGGCAGTCTTACACAGAGAGAGAGAGAGAGAGAGAGAGAGAGACCACCATCTTCCTCCTGCAGGACAAGAAGGGACGGGAGTCCGGAGGCCATGCCGTCTCCTCGGGTCCCCCCCGCTGCGCCGGGCTCGCTGTGGGGATGGAGCCCTTGAATAGGATTAAACCTCGGCGCTCCAGCTCTGCAGGCGGAGATTAAGCCGGCCTCTTCTCCGCGCCAGCGAGGGCGGCCGAGATTAATGGAAAGCGGGGAGCTGTCCTGAAAGGATTCCCAGCCGCTTGCTGTTCTATTGGAACCCCTCGAAGGACTGCCTTTGTGCCGGGCTTGGGAGGGGATTTACGCCCCTCCATCCCAGCTTTCTCACCCGCACGGGTGCGACTCTTTCGTATTCCTCTCACACCGACGGACAGACGGACCCAAACCGAGGGCCGCCCTGTGGCTGAACCCTTTCCTTTTTCCCCGCTTCGGCTCGTTTCCGAAGCGTCCTCTCTCAAGCTGTGGCCCGCTGGTGTTCTGAGAAATAAGGGCGATCCTTCGCACAGGATCCGGCTCTCTCGCTTTCTCTCTGTCCGGCCTCCTGAGCACCTGCCAGCCTAACTATTCTACGCCTTCGAAGGAAGCATGGGCTGTGTGGTCCAAACAAAATAAGATCCGAAGGCAGAAATAACGGTTACTTTTATAGATCACTAAAAACCGTCACAAAATTCATACAGTTTTCTTCAAAATTCGTGACAACAGAATTTTGACAAGGGATAAATTCATTCCTTAGCCATGGGACTGTACCTTTTCAGTTAATTTTCTAGTTATAGATTTCACATCAACTGCTCTATGGTTGTGGCTACATGCCGTCAAAGGGACTTCAACATATGGCAACCCAATGTATGGGGGATCTCCAAAAGGTCCCGTCCTCAGGAGTCCGGCTCAGTGCTTGCAAACGCAGGCCTGGGGCTTCTTTTAGGGACTCAGTCCATCTCAAATTGAGTGTTCCTCTTTTCCTGCTGCCTTCAATGTCTCTCAGCGTTATTGTCTTTTCAAGAGAATCTTGCCTTCTCATGATGTGCCAAAAGTAGGAGATCCTCAGCTTGAACATTTTTTGCCTCCAGAGACAACTCTGGCTTGATTTGCTTGAGGACCCACTCGTTCATATTTCTGGCAGATCAGAACAATTCAATTCAAGGAAGGGAGGGAAGGAGGACAGACGGACGGACGGACGGACGGACGGATGGATGGATGAGTTAGTCGATGGATGGATGGATGGATGGATGGATGGATAGATGGATGGATGGATGGATGGATGGATGGATAGATGGATGGATGGATGGATGGATGGATGGACGGACGGATGGACGGACGGACGGACGGACGGATGGACGGATGGATGGATGGGAACCACCGCATTGCATTAGCTTCCATCTCCAGTCTCCAAGCCCCTCTCTTAGGTTCAGCTTTTCCTTTGACGCTTCTCTCTTTGATCACCTTTCCCCCCTCCCTTCCTTTCCAATTTGCAGCTGGACGACATGTAAGCAGAAGCACCAGCTGGCTAAAGCTCGAGCAGGAGAGATGGTGACTTCCCCGGAAGGTGAGAAGCTTCACAGTGACAGCGGCGTCTTTCTGGACACCCACAGCCTCCATGAGCACCACCCTCTCAATAAGGGTAAGAGAGGCCTGCTGTATCCTGGTAGCCTGGTATCCAACTTGGGGGGGGCGGGGGTGCACCCCAAGACAGGAGGGGACCCGCCTTCTGCCCTGCCTGCTGGGTGTGTCCCAGCTTTGCAGAAACTGGTGTGCCACATAGAGTCAGAGCATAATGGCGTTGGAAGGGGCCTATAAACCATCGGGCCCCCGACCCCCTACTCAAGGCATCCTGAGATGCCAGTGCAAATGCTGCCCCCCTCCAAAGCAAGGATTTAACCCTTATGAGTGTGCATGCATGGTCAAAAGAGCTCCCACCTTGAGTTTACAGGACCAGCCCTGGTAAAATAAATCAGGACCTCAAATGCAAATTTACCGGTTGCAGATTTCAGCCCCTTTAAATGTTTTGCCTCCCTGTAACGGAGAGACGGGTAACAACACAGCCCGTTATCACATGCCTCCCTCTTCACAGCTGTCTGTGGCCTCACCAAGCTAACCTGTGATGAATTTCAGCAGTAAAGTCACACTATTCATCGTGGCTAGCGAGCCACTCAAGAGTCGTTTGAAACCAGAAAAAGGGGCCAATGCTTTGCTGATGACATTTGGGGAGCACGATATCCCCACCCTGGTTTTTTTTCCCCCTGTGGAGCGATGCTGGTGGATCCCAGCAAGGTGTACTTGGCCATCAGATTCACCGAAGGTGGACCCTCCTGCTCTAGCATTTCACTTCAGTCTGGTATACGCTCCGTAGAAAGGATTCCTAGCCTTTGATCTTTCCTAGAGTTCGTGACAGGACTCATAGGAAGCTCAGGGTTATCAACAGACTCAGCATAACCCCAGGGTTTGGAAATACAGTAGGAACCCCTGTACCCACAAGATTAGTATCCACAGTTTCACTTATCCACAGTCTGAAAATATTAAAAATATTAGAAGAAAAAAAATCCAAAAAAAATATATTTTCACGTGTATTACGAGAACAGGCCACTAGAGGGAGGGGAGAACATGCTATGAATACTGGTTAACAAATAATTCATAGCATAGTCTCTGCCACCCTCTAGTGGCCAGTTCTGATAATGCATGTGAAAATAATTTTTCTGGGTTTTTTCCCTTTTACCGTGCTATACATTCTCTCTGTGTCCTCTGTTGAAACACACATAATCAACCTGTAAGGATTTTCCATTAACAACAGGTCATCTATACAATCTGTTTTGGCCTTTGCTTTTCCCTAGAGGCTACTGCAACTGACATATTCAGACAGGTGGGGGGGGCAACACTCTTACTCTTTTAGGTAAATGTCACTCTGTTTGATGCTCTCTCTCTCTCTCTCTCTCTCGGCTTCTCCCCATGACAGCACCTAAGACGGAGCCCCGGCTATACACGAACCTCCCACCCCACAAGCAGGAAGAGGTGGTGCACCTTCTGGAGAGCCCGGCCCATGGCAAAGACTGGCGTTGCCTGGCCAACCACCTGGGCTACGAAGAAGACACCATTGACACCTTCGGCCGGGGGGAAGCCCCCACCCACACTTTGCTCTCCGATTGGTCCTCCAAAGAAGGGGCCACGCTGGAAGCCCTGAGCACAGCTCTGGTGGCCATTGGGAGGGTGGACGTGGCGGAGAACTTGAACGCCCCCCTCGAGGTCAGCTCCGTGGTGTGACGGGCCTGCCCGGTGGACTTGGTTGGGACTGGTTCTTTCTTTGTTTGTCGTTGTTTTTTTCTTTTTTTAATTAAAAAGGGGGGGAGGCAAGAGGGGCAGGAAGGAAGAAGGGTTAGCAACTTTTTGTTACGGTAAAAGGGATTGTTTTTAATGAAACAAAACTTTGAGAAAACGACAACGGATGAGGCTGGGATGAACAAAACCCCAATAGGAGACTCTGGATGGACCCCCTGTGGGTATAACGAAGGAAGGAAATGGCCTTGTTTTAATGGGAAGGATAGAAACCCCCAGCCTCGAGTATTTCAACTTGTGGGGATCTGTGGTCCAAAAGCAGGGCGCACAGAAGTGTTGCCGATGTAGAGTCAGGTCAGGAAAACTAGACACGTACTAAATCCTCCTTGGTGTTATCTCCATGGCCGAGGGCAGCTGGAAGGCAGAAATAGGACCCAAACTGGGATGTTGCGGGTATAGGAATCTCTCCCCCATGAGAAGTAAAATCTGAATAAACTGTTCAAGCCAGCTAGGGTTCTAAGAGGGTTCCACGGGGGTTAATTCTTCCTCCAGGAAGATCTGGGGTGAGGGATCGGCACCCCATGCATTTGTGACTTAAAAAGCCATTGTGGGAGGGGTTCGAATCTCGAAGACCGGATCGCCTTCGAACTCAGCTCCTCTTTGTCAATTCTCTCGGCTTCCTTCGGCTGTTCCAAAATGAGAGGCGTTGCCTACTTCCCCCTTCGATGGGTAGCTTCAAGGAATAAGAGAGAACATCTGGAGACACAGAGGTGGCCCGTGTAGGACACCCCTCCCCATCCCATGGAAACTTCCAGTAATTTTACTCTCCAAACCAGATGGCCTTACAGGAGCTCCTGGGTTAGGTATTCTTGTAGACAGTCTTGCCTCACTGACGTCTTCCTGTGGCCGCGTGCCCTCTCTGCTTCCAGGGGCCCTCATGCTCACATTTTAGAGTGGGACAATGAGGCCCCCATCTGACAGAGATGCTCGAACAGCGCTACTCCATTTCGAGATGTCTGCAGGTTGCTGTTCCATCTTGCAGTTATCCTGTCTTCATAACAACATTGTTTACGGCCACAATCATAACCCCTCTGCACATTATTATTTCCCCCCCCCCAGTTTTCCCACTTCCCCCCTCTGTGTTCATTTGTTCTGACCACAGACCCATAAAGTCACTGACTGAGGGGTCATGCTGAATCTCAAACGGCCCTTTCAAAATTTAGGCATCTCACTGCAGAAACGGAGGTTGGGGGTTCGATTCCCCCCATCTGGGCCTCCTGGACAGGGGCTGGACCGGATGATCCCAGAGGATGATCTAAGAGATCAGCAGTTCTAAGATGATTGTATTGTTAATAAACTTAGTGCCCTCCAGAAGTGTTGAATCAATAAGACCATCAGCTCAAGGGCTGGGTTACCTGCAAAGGGTGGAAGCTGTCGCTCCGGAGGGGGGCACACATTGGAGAACAACGATCTTGAAGGTCCCTTTCGTACGCTTTGTCAACATGCATGCAGAGCACCCCGCCTGATGTCCCTAAGGAGCCAGAGACCAACCCTCAAGGTGTCCATGCACAGAATCATAGAATCGTGAAATGGGAAGGGGACCCATAAGACCATCAAGTCCAACCCCCTGCTCAAGGCAGGAATGCAAATCAAAGCTGTAACAGATGGCTGCCCAATTACTGTAACTCTGCCTCCAGCGTTGGAGCGCTCGCCACCTCCTGTGGGTCATTGGTTCTGTTGTTGTACTGCTCTAATAGCTAAGAAGTTTTTTTCCAGAGGTTTGCAAAGGGATCCGTGCACATTAAGAAGGAAATTACGGAAAAGCCAGTCCTTTACAGAGATGGGCAAGCCCATCATGGCTCAATATTTTGGGTGCCTCTGTGTGATGAACAGCCCGGTTTACAGTGGCCTACATGAGCCCAGAGTTCAGGATTGTGGCCGGTCTGCTCTCCTCCCTCCTGCCAGGTTGTGCTTCCTTTTCCCCCCACCCACCTGCTGAATTAGATGGTGTGACGTCTCTACATTTAGAATGGACCACCTGTTTTTTTTTTTCAAGCCGAGCATCCGCACGGATCCAAACTGGACAAGGCGCACGTGTTCTTTTTCTCTCTCTCTAAGTTCAGTTCATTCCCGGGGGAGTTGGAGAGCGCCTGCTTTTCCATGGAGCCAAATGCCGAAAACAGCGCGCACACACCTCCTAAGCTTGCAGCTGGACAGTCCCGTGGACAGGCCTGCTGACCATTTCACGCACGCCCAGGTGGCAAGCTTTTGCTGCGCCTCTGGCGGTGGTGGACCGGGTCCACTTGGAAGGCCCCAAGAGAGCAGATGGGTTCAACAGCAAACCCTTCCGGACGAAGCCTGACAATGTTGGCGCTTTTCTATAGAACCCTTTGTTGGTGGGTTTGCTTTTGAAACTCTGCTTTCTTTGGACAAAACTTTCTTTTGTCAGCAAGCAGCTGTCCTGGGTTCGGATTTAATGCAGATTGTCCAGAAGCTTTGGTGCTTTCTCCAACACTGAGGCTGGCCAATGGGTTCCTCGATTTGTTAGCTCCCGAGCTCCCGCCTGATCTTGGCTCCGGGGGCTGCCGAACACAGCCGCCCCCTGCTCTCGTGCTATAACATCCTGATCCCCGAAAGGGGACCCTGTGCGGTTTCTAAGGTTCTTGACTCTCGCCTCTGAAAGGAAGCATCCTGTTTCATTCCTCAGGCCGGGCCCCCAATGTCTCCTGCAAAGGGAAAGGCCAGCCTCACAGGGAAAAGCAAACTCATCATGAACCTAGTCCTCATGAGGTGGTCTGGGACCTACCGCTTTAGGCTGCAGATGGAGCTAACACGCGGGAATGCTTTCAATACAAACAGTTCCCCGCATCTGGAAAATTAGATGGCAAGGGATGGAATGAACTTACTTTTCAGTGCATGGGTCTCTCCCCCCCCCTCCCCCAAACTATGGGGGAATGTTCAGTTATGAGTCTGATACAAACTCCCTGTTTATAGTCTGAAGTGGTCAGCCAGGCGCTGAATGACTGCCTCACTGAGGACTAGTTTGTTAAAACACCTGTTTCATTGGTGCTTCTGTTTATGGATGTCTTAGGGTGCATTATAACCTGAGTTCTCTCAACTGTAAACTTGTAATGTGCTTTTTTTTTCTTTTTTAATACGGGAGTTATCTTGTGTGTGTGTGCGTGTGTGTGTGAGTGAATGACAGAGAGAGAGATTGAGATTATTTTTCACTTTTATTTTATTTTGGTTGGTTGATCAATCTGACTCTGTAGTGCTTTCTCTTCAGCTCAGTCATAAGGAACAGATTAAAGGGTGGTCGTTCCCCACATTCCAAACCGTCACATTAAATTCTTCTTTTTCTTTTAAATTAAAAAGGTGTCTTTTGTTATTATGGGGGCGGGGGAGGCAAACCCTTTTAAGGTTTGTGAGTGGAACAAAGAGGGGATAAAACAATTTATAAAGCAAGGGCAGAAAGGGGAAAAAATGAAACAGCATGCACACCGACACACAATTAATGTCACAATACCAGCAACCCTGTGCTAACAAATCTATAAAATGTTGAACACCGTCAGGTTATTGGTGAGAAGGATACACTGAGTCATTGAGTTGCTTCTGAATGTATCACAACTCTCTGAAGTAGTGACCTCCATGAGGCTATAATTATCAACCCTTCTAATTAATTCAGCTAATTGGAAAGAGCTATTTCTATCCAGTATTCATACTCCTGGCCTTTGGTCCTCACTGAGCTTAAAAATTGCTAGCTTTTATTAGCCTAATTAATTGAAAAATAATTTCTTTATTCTCAGCTCTGTCTGACGGGTGCAGTTAAAAGGGGTGAAGGCTCTTTGGAAAAGTCTGTTCCAAACTTTTAAAACTATGGTGAGGACTAGAAACTTTGATTTAAAGAAACAAAACGTAGTGCCACCTGAGATTTTCCCCCCCCAGGAAAATGAGCACCCTTGTCACATTCTGTATAACGATGATGTCCAGAAGCTGTCTTTTTTTTTAAAAAAAAATGCATTTCATGCATTTCTTTTCAGAAGAACCCTGATCTCTGTCGTTTGGCCGTTGGAGCATACAGACAATGTTCTTTTGGGTTAGAGAAAACGACAGAGAAACTGAGATTTGGTGCGCTTGTTAGGAAGAGTTCGGAAAAGTTGCTTTAAAACAAACAAACTCCCAGGAATTTCCAGCCTCCCAAATGCTCCCGAGGGGCAGCTTCACATGGGTCGGACCCTAGAGAGGAGAAGAAAAACCTCATCGCATGCAGGAGCCAAGTCGAAACCTGCCAAGACCCAAAGAGGAGAAGGGGATGCAAAATTCCCAACATCCCATCGGGGCCCCTTGTTCAAAGCTGGTCACATTCTCCCCTGCCGGCAGATCCCAGGTGCTTCGCAGATGTCTGCCTTGATGGTATTATTATTATTTCCTCCACCATCATCGTGGTCTCCTCAAGCGGGGCTGCATCGCAGGCCTGCTTTGTGAAGTCGAGTCAGTTTTAATCACTTGCAGAAAGGAACGTGACAGCCGCGCCAGCGAATATCCTGAAAGGCCGGCTCGGAGCGCGCAGAGACGGAGGAGATCACGACCAGCAGCCCTCTGAACGCATGGTTCTCCCAAGCCTGGGCACCGAGCGAAGGGTTCCAGGGACTGGCACGGTTCCCCCTGGGGAAGAGGCCGTCTCCAGATATTAAGAAGGCCAGCACACGCCAGATGTCACCAAGTTCAAAGATGAGGGACATCACGTTGTCCCCTACCTTCTCCAGATATTAAGAAGGCCGGCACACGCCAGATGTCACCAAGTTCTGCTCTGTTTTCCCGGAACAGAGATGAGGGACATCACGTTGTCCCCTACCTCTGGTCTAGGAAGACGTGGCATTTCTGTGAGCATGGGCTGATGCACAGCTTGCCCAGGAGTAACCCTTTCAGAAGCCCGTGAGCAGATGAAACTAGAAATGTGTGCCTTGCTTCAGGAAATCCATTCAGAGAGATAGGGCAGGAGGAAAAGAGCCCTAAACTCATCTATGGAAAGCCCTTAGTAGGCATTTCTACCCAAGCCTTCCTCATTAGTGGTCCGTCTATCCCGCCCCCAAATCCCTGTTTCGGTTCCTTATTCTAATCATCCTCTTAGAAGGGCAGAGCTGGAAGGGACCCTCTGGGTCATCCAGTCCAGCCCTATCCAGGAGGCCCCGTGGAGGGAATCAAACTCCTAACCTCCGGCTTTGCCTGAACTGCTGAGCTATCCAGCAGTTCAACTAAGTCGTGGAAACAGTCAGGGTGTGGCTTTACCAGTCCCACCATGTTGGGGATTTGAACACAGGTCCCCAGCGTCCATCACTCCATCCACTATGCCATACTGGGCACCTGGACTGACGTTCGAACTCCCGGCCGTGGATAGAGCTTATTGGGCTGGAGTTTGAGAGACTGGGGTTCTAGCCCTCAGTGAGTCCTGGGTCGGCCACTCCCGGCCTCTCTGTTTCCCTCTGCCTGATTCTCCTCAGAGGGGAGTGCAGTGGCTAAAGGACGTGCCTGGGGGCCTCCGGCTCTCTGAAGGTGGGGAGGTGGAAGACACGGGTTCAGGTGCTTCCCGGTGCTTCCAGTTTTTGATAGGGGAGCAGACTCTCAAAATTGGACGGATTTTCCCTCAACAGGATTCCCCACCACCACCGCTTTTTTCCACCCTATTGTGGGTGTTGCAATAGTGAATTTTCTGCATTTACAAGGTGTGTGTGTGTGCGGGTGTGCGGAACAATGTTTAACAGAGTTGGGTCCCTCGGCTACGCACAGCTCTGACTGGGGTGCAGAGGAGAGGCTTCCGGCGTCTCCGTGGCACAAACAGGCCCTCTCTCTCTAGCTCTCTGATCTCTATGGATCCTCGGCCATCCAGGGATCTGCAGCTATGTCGGACTACAACTCCCATGGTGCCCATCAAGCATGGCCGAGGACGGGCAGCGGTGGGTTGGGGCAAGCCATCACTCACACGGTTCAGACCTCCAAAGTCCAGGCGGCAATCTTTTCCTAGTGTGGTGTAGTGAGTCGCAGGGACCAAGTAGTCAGACGTCCCTGGCCCTTCCTAAGTCAGAAGCCCCTTGAAGGGGCGTAACTAACACACCCATGAAAGCAGGGACCAAGTAGTCAGACGTCCCTGGCCACTTGGGACTGAGGGGCTCAGAACCTGGGAAAATGCCTTTCAATGTCCCTTAAATTAATTCTTACAATAAATTCCTTGCTGCACCTAAAAATAACTTGAGCATTCCATGTGACACCGACAATCCGCGTTGTAACTAGACAGGGTGCTCTCCCCAAAATAACCTGGTCAAACTACATGGGTGCTTGTTCACAGGGACTTCCCGGCCCCGGGTTTAGTTCGTGTCATGCCCTGCAACTCCGCCAGGCTGGTTTGGCCGTTCTCGGCGGCCCGGCTCTCGTCTTCCAAAGCTCCTGTTCTTCATCCAAGGAGGCCAGCGTGTGGCAGGCGGCACCTGGGCGCCCTCCTGATCTGACACCCTTGCACCCGAGAAAGGCTTCCCTGGGATAAATGGGAATGGCTGACCTGCAAGGGCATGGGGACCGGGGCAGATGGGCTGATCTTGCATGGGG